CGGTAGCATGGCTACTGCATCCTAAAATACCGCAGCCCCTTGTACAACAACCGCCCGTTTCTGTTTTTTTGTCTCTGATGATGGATGCGAGTAGGAATCCGAAACGTCAGGCTAATAAAGCTGTTGTCCCGGCGATCGTGTTTCGTTCTTCAATACCAGACTTCAGTCAAGACAGTCATCCAATACATACGGGATCTGTGTGTGCTTTAGGAAGATCTACATTACATGAAATTGTTCGACCAGTGATGCTAGTGCCCCATTCTTCGAATTCACTCTTGCGACCACACATCCAAGGACAACGATGCGGTCAGTGAGGAGAAGGACCAGTCAGCTTCGTCCTCCGGCCGCCCACTGTGACGACATTTTCGTGCGCTTTTTCGATCGGAGAGCAGAATCGTGCAAGATGCATGTTCGTGCATACCTGTCCCCAGGTGGCGTCGGCCGACCCCTAATGTGTGGTTCTAAGAGCGTCAATTCGCCCCGCTGCCAGGCCGACAGGTTCAACTGTGATCCACAGTCTGTCCTCGACGGACTGCAAAGTACAGGAATATTTTGTAATGCAGTGAACTCACAGCACCAAGCCGGTCGTTAGATGAACATGCCGAGTTTAGTCATAATTAAGCTGAACATCGGTCGACACTGAACTTAATATCATCGAGGATTCTACACAAGAGTTCATGTTTTCCCCGCGGCACAGGCGGCCGAGCCTGCACGGCAATTAATAGGTCACCACGGTTTCGATGGGAAGTTGGCTTTTGAGTCAGTACTTTCGCGTAAATAAGTAATCCTTAATTTTTCCTCTAATTCTCAGAAAATAGGGTCAGTCAAGGTAGAAGTCGTGCAGTACATAGGTCCCCAACGAAGCGGTCACATATTAAACTCCGTATTCTCCACAAAATGGCCACCCCTCCGATAAATTTTTGACGCTAATGCTGTTTTATTTGACCAGTCGAGTCATGGATCGGTGTGTGGATGTCCGACGTTGCTGCCTGTACAGCCACGCTACGAAATATCTAAGTGTAACTCAGTCATTCGGCCACAACGATTATACGTTTACCACAGTCTCAGGCACTAAAAAAAGAACCAGAAATGATTAGGCCGGTCGCTGTAAAAGGCATATATTGATTGATAAGACGACGCAAGGAGTTCGGAAAAGACAGTCACTTTGCGTAAGCGAGAAAGAGGAAAATGAGCAACTAACGCGAAAAGATCAAAAGAGCCCTACAAAAGAAGAATTAATCGTCCAAGAGACTTGAACAAACGTATCTACAAAGAGACATGATTAAACCGACTTGAAGAACCCCTTTGATGAGCTCCAAAGAGGGCTTAACTCTTGATTGGGGTCCGGGAATATGCGACTACCAGTTTCGGTAGTCCTTGATACCTGATGATCTTATCAAATGTTGCCCGCTCACAATGGTTTCATTTTTCCAGACATCGTCAAACATTGGAGGCAGATCTTATTGAGGTCAATCAGCACTTTTGCTAACTGACTCGGGTAGTCACTGAAGTTTGAAATAATTAAGTATTTTCTGCCTACATCATGACTACCAATTTTCTGGAATTCAAAGGCAACACAATATAAGCTTTTGTTAGTTTGCAGAACTAAACACCATTTTCATTTCATAAATAGACAATTTAACTGTAAAACCTATCAGATTGGTTCAAACTTGATGAATGTGTCAAAAGAGTACAAAATTCGATAAAGTGGACGTAGACTTACGGAAAACAAGTTTTCCAAATTTGTTGTTGCTGCAAGATATTCCAAGTGACTTTCGTTCAGCTCAATTTTATTCTATATAGATAAGATGGGCCAGTTTTATAAAAAGATGCTTTTCCTACCTGGAGATCTCTGAGTTCGGCGTCCGTAAAGATCCCCTATTAGACCAAATTTATGCTAAGAACTCAACACAAGAATACCCTTGGTTCTGATCGGAAGAGTTCGTCCGCCAAATACTCCTGGTAGTCCATTTCCTGTTGAAGAGCTCGATTGGTATCTCCGATGTGCTCCATGCGAATGCCCTTCTGCAGGGAGGCAAAAATTTTGAGATCGTGAATATTGGTTATTTGTGCACATTACAATAATTCCGAATAAAACGTCGTCGGTTCAGCGGCCAGTGAAAGCAGTGAAAGCTGCTCCACTCTCCTGAGAATGCGTTGAGCCTTGGTAATTAAATAGGTAACACGGCCATCGCAACCTGCCCTAACAGGTGGCTTTAGGCCCTTAAAGTACGGGTTACCCCACTCGGCTTTCACAATCGGCTATCAGTGATGAAAGGGAAGCAAAATTCTCAGGTCAAAAACAGTCAGAAATCGCAAATACTGTTGGAAATGTGAACTGTAGAAAGGTTTCACAGATATTTAAGTATGAACACGCTCTTTGCATAGCAACCCTGTCTCACCTATGCTGATAGCTAAACGACCACTTGTAAACCCACGTTGCTAAGATAGAAGTTGATCGATAGAGCTCTATTTTTGGATAAAATAGTAGCCGATAAAATAATCAATACATAGGTGGAAAAGTATTGAAGTCTATAAAAGCGTTATTCAAAAGACGTTAATTTAAAAGAGCAAGTTCATCCCTGAAATTCATCCTTTCGCTTCTCTCAAACCATAGATTACCGACCAGAGTTTTCTTGAAAAAGTGTGGTCAATAGAGGATCTCACTCAACCTACGGATCAGAATTGGGCTACACTTCACGGTCTGCTATCGTCTTCCTGATGACCACCCAACAGCATCTTCGAAAAGTCTGAAGATTAACGTGTAGCAGAATTGAGGGATTCTGAACATTTTTACGAATGATGAACCATTTGTCCACAAGGACATTTTCCAAAGACTGGGGTTACTAAAAATTCGATGCTATGAGATGGAATGCTGTTTTGTAGAGGACACTTTCGCATCCTGATGTTATTCTTTTGCCTGGAAGGCGCGGCTACGTACGAAAAAGTATAAGATAAAGGGTGAAGTTCTATTTACGCCGATGGAGATCAGATCTTTTGTCATTTGTTGACAGTCTAATTCACAACTATTTATGTAGTGAGAATATACTTTCATCTTCACACTTTAAAAAGTGTTGACAATTTCAATTCTTTCTGGAATTAGATTTCGAAAAAAGATGGGATTTTTGTTAAGACACCCACCATCGTCTTCAATTTGAGCAAACAGGAAAATCTGGCTTTATTTACCCGACTCTTTCCACGGTCGTTTGTTAGCTCTTAAAATGTTTCTTAAATTGCGTATAAGAATTTTAAAGATACGAATTGCACCTCCCATGAACAATTTTTAATGGCTAAAACACTTCCAAACTGAAAAGCATTCTTCGTGAAGACCATGCAAGTAGTTTTTCAGGATTATGGGGAATCCGAACGAACGTGCTGCAATATTAAGTGTATTAAGTGTATCTTAAAATCTTGGCATTTATATGCTGCAATTGCAATAACAACGCTTGCAGTTGTTCAGAGCCTTGCTTTTTATCTGCGATGAAGGATGAAACAAGAGTGGCTTAATGAACAAAATTTCAGGATAATTGTGTCTTGTTTCTTCCTTAGATACAAATCGACCTATTTGGGAGAGCTTTTCGAATATGAAGACTTGACTACGAACTGTGTATTGCTCTAGGATGGGACGGAAGCGAAAAGATAATTTTCTTTACAGAAAATCTGAAAACCCTCCGTCGAACCGAAACAAGCATAAACTCAACCACGTAATCCATGAAGTAGCTACAGATTAATGTATTCACAGTAAGACGTCGTATACGTAATTTACCGTAGGTTTTAGTGTCATATAAACGTCTTCATGGTGATTCACAGCCTTATTGTGGAACTGCGGCGAACGGATGACAACTAGGAATCACATGTTGCTCTACCCAAATACGTTTATATATCTACCGCCACACATCCCTATTCGAAAATTGATACTACATTAAGCTAACGGCTCGAAGAAACGCCTTTAAGAGGATGGTACGCCGCGTTAACAATTTAATCCAACCCAACTCCAAGGTCCTTAAGAATTGAAAAGGCAGATGTCGATAGAAAGATCACAACTCTGTTACAAATACTTTACATCAACAAACACTAGCAAAAGTCGGACTTCATTCGGAAGTGGGGTTAAAATTCTAGTTAGATTTAGAGCGACAAGACGACTTCCCCCTATTATTTTTAACGCTACAACATCTATGGCCTTATTTGTAAACAACCCAACATAAGGTCTTTGTTGCTCATTGAAAGAACTGCTGAAAATTATGAGGTGGGAAAGCATTTGAGCAGTTTACTGGCAGTTTGAGCACCCATTGAAGTACGAATGTGTCATCTTTTGCTTTTAGAACAGGAGTTCTCTGTTATTCGATAAGTTCCGGCGATCTGAATTGCAGAGTCAGCTTGTTGTTTTCTTGTTGTTATGTCGAGCACACCAGTGGCTGTCCTAAAGACGGACCTTTAGAAATACCGTGTCCCTAATTTATGCACGAATTACGATGCAAATAGACCTCGGCAGCGGCACTGGGACTAGATGATCTATTATTCTATTGCAAAATCGTGTCGCCTTCTAAAAAAGGAGTGTGTTCACTTCATGTTGGGATTAGTGCTCATGAGCTGAATAGCTTCTCCTACCGGTAGAAAAGATGAAGTTTGGCAGATATCGCTTTAGGGTTATAGGATACCATTTTAGCACCACAGCTATTCGCCAAAAACCCAGAAATGCGTGTTTCGCCGATATTCTGCCGCTGCATGGCACAGCTGCGAGGGGTTCGACTCTTCAGTGGGTTCCCCAGCATTTCCCATGTGCCTTCTGGCCGATACACTAGTTTACAATTTCTGAGAAAATTTAAAGGCAAAAGACATCGCTTTCTTAGCACGGTCGTGAAACAAGTGTCTTTGAAATACGATTTTGGTTAGGGGATTTAGACCGGCATACATACTAATAACAACTGTCACATATTTTTTAAATGTTCACTTATCTGGACTATGACTACGCTGCAGAAACCCTTATTTTTTAATATTAGATAATTTTGATGTTATATGTACCTATGAGAAGTGAATACAACCATGGCAAACTGTCGTTAACTATTATAGCAATGTTAGAAGTATGGAAGCACCGAAACCAAGTATAATTTACGAAAGTATGCTCCTTCCTCACCTATTTTTAAGGTTAGCAATACGGCTTAACGTATATCTACCATCTGGCGCGGTCAAGAAGGGTCCGTTGCTTCAAGTATCTCTTAGTGTACTGCGCTTATTTCTACGTATAGCAAGTTTCCATGACTAATTTACAAAACTGCGCTTA